GTATCCTGTGTCTAATAAACCGGGAAGCCGATATTGAACCATGTCGTTCTCGTGGCACGTGCGTACGGGTTGGTATGGTTAGTGGTTTTTAGCTCAGCAGTCACCACATAATCATGACTTAATTTAAATCAATTTATAGCCTCACCGTATTTTTAGATCCAAGATTAAGATGTTTTATTTAAAAAGATTAAGAGAAAAAACACAAAAACCGTATCAAATCTAGGGAATAAATTTTGTGAATTTTTGCACAAAAAACAAAAACTTTCGTGGCTTATTTACGATCCAATTCAACTAAATGGGCCATAAGCACATGAGCAACACATTTCGTCGAACACTGTAAATGGGCTCAGATTTATAAATAAGAGAAAGGCCCAATGGGCTCAATATCAAAGGAACGAAAAAAAAGTTAGATGCGGTGAGCGTGGATCGAACACGCGACCTTCAGATCTTCAGTCTGACGCTCTCCCAACTGAGCTATCCCCGCATTGTTGTTACTTGTGTAACAACTAGACAATTAAACTATTATCATATAAATTCGTTTGAACTATACTATAAGAAACTCCATCTACGTATCTTACAAAGACGAAGATGGATTCGTTTATTACATGTGCTATAAAAACTTTGGTTGAACCAAAACGATGTTAGTTCATATACTTTTAGCATAAGCTTAGTCACTACATCGAAAAGACAAACATTTGTAAGCTTATATGACTGTTTGATCCGTTAGATTTGGTTCACCTATGCAAAAACTTTCTACTACAAATCTCATTTCCAAATTATATTTTCCTCAAAAGGCTCCTCTTTGTCATATCATTGTTCATCTTCCTGAGAAAGCAAAAGAGACCAGTAATGCTGTTACTAGGAGAAGAGTATTGCGGTTCCTCTCCGCCAAGCACCACGAAGTGGCAATTCACCGGTAGTAGTAGAGTTCCGGGTCCTTTTGGAGTTATCGTTCTTCGATTCTGGTTCAGGATCTAGGTTAGACTTCCTAAGATCTAGTACTGCAGCCGATGATTTCTCGCCTAGACGTGCTCTGTGAAACTTTGAAGTTTTCTTACACTGCTTGCCTGTGTTGCCTAATCCCACACCAGCAGATGAAGAATCCACCAATGTTGTCACTTTTGTCTTGCCTTTGTCTGAAACGTATGCATCCATGTCTTCATCCTGAGATTTGTCAGAGAATTGCAACTTAACTCCTGTGGAGTCACTGCTACTTTCAACTTTCACCGCTTTCCCTTTGTTTTTCTTCAAACCGCAACTCTCTTTCGCCTGAGAACTGCTCTGCACAGTATCATTTCCTCTTCTCAAGCAAGCATTGTGGGTATCAATGAGCTCCTTCTGTCTCATAGGGTCAGGGCAGAGTCTAGCCATATCAAGAACTAAGTGAGACAAGCCATAGCCTTTTACATGCTCTAAGTAAGTTCTTGCATCGATTGAACCATGTCGATACTTTCCTGATGTATCCTTGAAGGCCATGAATAACTCTTCATTGTCACCGAGGCTGGCACGTATTTTTTCAACCAAACTCTTGTTGGCAGACTGTACATTAGAAACACCTTGTGGTTCTTGGATATTCAACGGCTTTGCACTGGCGGATGATGCCCTGCAATTTTTCGCAGCAGAAACTGGAGGAGAAACAGAACGAGAAGGCTGCTCCAGTGATCTTGTATCAGACACTTTAGGGTTTGAAGATGAGTAATGATTCCTCTTTGCATTGCCGGAATTCAGTGAAGAACCAGATGAACATCCACCAACTGCAGTATGTTCATTACGAGCATCCTGTGGAACGGCAGAAGCAAGAGGTCTAGCCGTTTCAACTCTGGCATGGTGCCTAGACTGAGAATAAGCGGAAGCATCAAAATATCGTACACTGCTAGTAATTGATGCTTGTGTCAGGCCTCGATTTGACACTGGCAGGGCTTGAGAAGAACCAGCACTTGCACTTCTATTTGTTTGATGTCTTAGATGAGTAGTCATGGTGTTACTATGTAAACTCTCTGAGTTCTGTCTAACTCTTGTTTGGCCACGGTTTGTTTGCACAGAGAGTGGAGGAAAAGAAGATTCTCCCAGACGTGAACCTCCAGAGCTCCTCATAGGTTGATGAAGAGGATGACCGTCGTTAGTGGCATTAGATGCTTGAGATTCCAGAAAGGCAAGATTAGTCTCACGAGGAGATAATAGTCCCCTTCTACGACGACTGTTCTGGTATTGGAAACCCGCTTGTATCTGAAACAGCACCGAAGATTAAACATAGGCAAGCAAAAATCATCACGCAAGAGCGATACTCTCAAAAAGATACATACCTGTAGCGCTGCGCTTTGCTGAGACCGAGACATTCTACCTCCATGATCAATAGAATTATGCCTCTAAAAACAAATGGAAGTAATACTTTAAACATCACTGTGTGTCACCATAGAGCAGAACATAACAAACAGTGCGATAAAAAAAAAAAAGGTGTTTACCTTCAACTCATCTTCAATTTGGAAAACTACAAACTTCTTAGCAAGGCAAGACTCGTCTTCACATAGAAAATGGTCACTACGGAAATGAATCTGTAGCAAAATACAAAGTAAGAAACATTTACAATTAAACAGCCATAACCCAATGCAGCCACAATGTGATACCATATACATTCATACCTCCAAATCATCATAGTTTCCATAGTACTCATATTGTCCAGGCTTCAGTCTGCATTAC